GCAAGAATGATGAGGGTTATTCCAAATGAATCTTGGACATGCTTCGTTGTTAAGCAAGACGATCGCAGCGACATGTGCATGTCGGGATTATCATATAGTCCCTACATTACACTATTAAGACACGGCGAGTACTCTAAATCATCATTTATTATTTCTTTGGCAAGTTACCAATTACAACTACCGTCTGATGATTCACCATCGTCAAGACTGATTACAAAGGATGCAATGTCATTTAGTACAAAACCGTCATTGTAATCAAGCTCAGCATCAGTATCAGCTTCTTCTCCACTGTCCGGGTCTTGGGGCGATGATTCAGTATCGGATTCAGCACCGTAAAGAAGGGAGTCAGTAAAGTAGTTTTTTAACCCTTTAAACAGTTGCTTATCCACGACCACCGTCTTGACCTCATTATTAGTGTCTACATATTTTAAATACTGGTGGAGAGTGGAGGGGACTATAAGATTACTATGGATCCAAGGTCGACCCAATAGTAAGTTATAGGAGGTTTCTGCATCGATCACGTAACACGTGACTTAAGATCTCAAATCCCCAACTTAGCATTTTACCCGGATTTTATCCAATGGTCTTGACCTAATGGTATTGAATCCATAGATGATGGTGCCTGTCGAAGCTAACTTGCTGGTTGGGATTCCGAGATTGTACATCAGTCAGAGTGGCATGATGCTGACAGCGGAACCCAGATCAACTTGGATCCGGTTGACAACGCTGGAGCCTATATATCCGGTGAAGTACAAAGGCCTATCATGTTTTGAGTTTCTCACTTGCATGTATTCTCTAGTGAATGCGATACAAAGGAATTGCTTGGCCGTCAAATTGCAATGTTGAACCTGTGGCTCTGGACCTTCGGGAACTGGCTTGATTTGAGTGAGGAACACGTCAGAATCAGCCAAAGCTTCTTGCAGAGCCTCTCTAGTGTCTTTAGAAAGACGTAATAATTCGTATAGAGTTATCCTCGCTGGGATGTTAGCCAGCTGAGTCATAACATCAAAGCGGTAAGGTGTACTTACACTTTTCGGTTTATCCCTTCTAATCGGACGATTGAATCGAGACTGCTTCGGGTTCTGAGTCTCTTATCGTTGGAGTTTTTTCTCTTTCTGCTTGTTAGTTGGTTGTTGCTGGGATTTCTTTGTAGGTGCAGGGGGGGGGGATTATAACCACCCCCAGCTCAGCCAAAATTTTAGCATTTGGATCAGAGGCTTCATGATAGTTATAGTGATACTCGTTCCCACCCCTGGTAGCGAAAACTTCTTATTCATCTTCAGAAAGTGATAAAGTAAGGATTCCTTTGTCATCTTTTTCAGGAATTGCTATGACGGGACAGCAGGATTTGCCCCTAAGCTTGGATTTCTTCTTAAACGAGGGTCCCGTCCATTGTTCATCTTTAAGCAGAGCTGGATGGACCTAAAGAATTTCGCCGTTAGGGGCCGTGTGCTGCACAAGCCCTTTCTGGCGTTATTTATGGGGATCGTCATTAATAGTCTTCATTTCTACTTTTGATACGGACTCTGACTAAAAACATGACAAAGGAACATAACCGAAGCTGATAGAAACCGCATTTACGCCCACCTTATTTTCCTTGGGCTGCTTTGGAGTGATGATACCAACATCAATCAATGCTTGGATCTTATCCTTGAGGGTGTAGCACTTCCTAGTGGGGTGATGGATCCGCCTATGAAATGCATAATACTTTGGATCCGCTATCCTCTTGACTTCCTCCTCATCAGTAACTGGAGGTAATTTGATTTTGTTGTTATTTAGGAGGTATTTGAAGATAGCAGGAACTTCATCTTCCTTAAAGGAGTATTCCTTCTGGGATTTTGGTTCTGAAGCTTTCTGCTGTCTTTGAGGTCATTGTTGCCACTAGGATGGCGACTTCTGCAGCGCTTGCTGCTGCAGCTGTAGTTGGAATGTTTGATTTGTGTACACTACGTTTGCTGGTGATTTCCCTTTACCACGAGAGACAAAGTTTTGTTTCTGAGCATTAGTTGGTGGTTGACCTCTTTCAGCCTTCTTCCGTTTGAGGAAGCGTTCAGCTTGCTCTCCACGCACCTTTAATTCTTTCCAGGTTTTAGATGGTGTTGTAGGTGTAAATTTTGATTTTCCAAAATTAGGGTATCTTTTGTATTGATAAGAATAGCTTATTACAAACTAATAAATCAAAATTACAACAGAAGTGGTGGGTAGACCCTCCTTTTTTAACGTGGGGACTTTGGTAGCGATAGGATGACTCGCTCGGTTCTCGCACCGAGTCTGCTTCCCTTGGACGATTCAATCTAGGTTGCTGGTGAGCTTCGGTACGCAGTAGAAGCTC